TATATAAGTAAATATGTTTTTGATAATGAAAAGATATTTACAATACATTGATTTTATTTTTATCAAGGATATAATCCCTCTTAATTAACTATTAATTAAAATATATTAATTTTAAGGACCTTAATCGTTAGTTTATGTCAACCATAAAATGTTTGATGAAATTTTGAACCATTTTGACTAATTGCAATATTAGATCTGAAACGACGCTAAAAGTATAATAATTTGAAAAATAAATTTTGGGTTATTTTAATATTTTTAAAATGATGTAATTAAAAGATTGTGAATAAAATAAAATAAAATAAGTAATATAGTGCAACTCAGAGAGTCATAGTTGAATTATAAAAAAAAAAATTCTAATTACATATATTTTTTAAATAATTTATCGAACTTTTAAAAATTGATTACTTAATATTTCAACCCCAAAAATACTACATATTATAGTTTGTTTGCCTCACACATCAAATAAGTAGGAAAACAATTTTTAAGTTACGGTTTTCTTGATTTTTAATCTATCTAGATAGTTGTTGAATAAATCTTTTTATAATAAGTAATGATTTAATAATATTATTATTATTTTGAGTTTATTATAAGTTTGGTAATATAAAAAATATTGGTTTTTAATAAATAATTATTGAAAATTACGTTTTTAAGAATCATTATTATATATTTATACTATATATAAAATATTTGACTAAAACACTTAAAAATCAGTTTTTATGCATAAAGTACTGTTTATTAATGCTTGTTACTTAAAACTCAAGATTACAAGTAGATTGTGCGTAAATATAACTTATTAAAGCTCTATATCTTAATTTGTGTAACTAACTGCAGATAAATATAATCAAATATAGGATAAATATCTAATTTTAAATATAAAAAATTTAAAATATAATTAAAATAATCATTGAGTTCTAACAGAATACTTAACTATTATCTTTATAAAATGTTACATTGTTAAACCAAGAATAAATTATTTCATTATTAAACTTAAATTAAATTATAATAAAAAATAAATTACATAAAAAATGAGAAGTTTTTAATTGTTGGTTTGATATTAACATTGATATATATTTTTTTTCAAATTTGTAAATTTATATTTTATTCAAAAATAAAATCATTATTGTTTTCTTAAAAACACATACAATCGTATTATAACATCGACAAAGATAAAGAATAAAATAGAACATTAAAATCGAGATGTATCTCGCTGCATTACACGAGTACCCTTCTAGTATATATATATATATATATATATATATATATATATATATATATATATATTATATAGAGAGGTGAAGAAAGATGGAAATGAAACTAACCACCCAAAAATAAGCAACTTTCTCCACCAAAAAAAAGGAGAAAGAGGGTTATGTTGGGCTGAAGATGAACGAACGAATTTGGTCATGGCGTTGCGGGTTTTTATAAGCAAATGTTAGGGGTGTAAAATAAATATTGCTGATAATATGGGGGCTGTATTGTAAAACTGAGTGGGAAGGGGGGAGAAGTGAATAACTGAATATGGTGCAAGTTCTACGTAAGTGTTAATTAACTTGTGAAAATTCATTTTTGTATTACTAGAATTTTACTCATGCAATTGAACGAAATATATCTTGATTTTAATAATTTTTTTTATTTTTTATTTTAGTCGTTGTTATAATATGGTCTTATGTTATTTTAAAAAGTCGATGATATTTTTATTTTTGAATAAAATATAAATTTGAAAATGTTATAAAAATTTGATAAAAATATATCGATATTAGTATTAAATTAACTATTTAAAATTCATATTTTTTGTGTAATTTTTTAATTTAATTTTTTATTATAATTTTAATTTAGGTTTAATAACGAAATAATTTATATTTGGTTTAATAATATAATTTTTTATAAAGATTATAATTAATTATTTTTGTTAAAACTCGATAATTATCTTAACTATATTTTAGATTTTTTATATTTTAAAATGATATGTTTATCATATATTTAATTATGTTTATTCGCAGTTAGTTACACGAATTCAAACATGAAGTTTTAATAAATTATATTTTTGCATATTTTATTTGTAATCTTGAATTTTATGTAATATGCATCAATATACAGTATTTCATGCATAAAAAATTGTTTTAAAAAGTTTTTGTTAAATATTTTATAATATAGTATAGATTTTTAGTTATATTATTTTTAAACTTAATAAATTAAAGATCTTTTATAAAACTGAATTGGATTTATAGTAATGGATATGTTCGACCTATTGATCAGTGTTTTGACGTTCAACTTTTTTTCATTCCAGTAGATTTCGATTCATGGCAAAGATCTAAACGTTTCTTGGACGGATTGGTGCAATGGGTATAGTTTCGATACCCTCTATAGATTTGTGTTTATTGGTCCTGTTGGTCGTTAGCTTTGATTGGTTTCATTGTCGATCAGTTGACTGTGTTTTGTTTTCGTTGTCTTTAGTCTTGTTTCGGGTTTCTTCTTCGGGAGTTAGGCATGAACAAACCCAATGTAGAGCATAAGGTGACCCGTGCCACCATATTGTTCATCTATCATAGTATAAAAAATCTAGGGTAGTGAAAAGTGACACCGTATATATTTTGACTGTACAATGAAAATACAAGTTTTTTCCTGGTAGTGTTGGTTTGCAAGGCTTTTTTTTCTACCCCAGACCCGAATTCGAATCTTATTAGTGTCATTTTTCTTAGTTTTAAACTTTTGATTTCAAATCTATAATGTTCAGGAAAAAAAATTGCTATAAAAGACTTGAACATATGACCTCGCATATGAAAAACCATGAAGAATTCAATTTACAGGAGAC